AAGCCATTTAATGACCATAGCATGTTAATTGAATAGAACAAATAGATAGAGAGGAGATTTTGCTGAGCACTATAATACATATTTATTATATTTTTTTTACTTATGTCATTAAATAATTGTTATTATAACAAAAACTGCATTATATTTAATTTAGTTTGTTATTTTAATTTGTTATTTAAAAATAATTCTGTCACAGTCAAGCAAATCAAACATTAATAACAGACATTACAGTAATGTTACTAATGTTACTGCCCCAATGCGCCCTTTACTGCCGCCATTGAAACAATTTAAAACGGAACGTTTTCCCACTCGACATTATAAAAGTTGTAACGTTAGTGACAGTCGTAAATCGCGGGCTGTTTATTCCATTGGACGCAAGTTGCAACTAAAACAATAGGAGGCAATGGCGCAACGCTACCCAGCAACAGCTCAGTTATGGCGCCCGCTTACTTCCGGTAGTTTCGCCGGATTCGTCTATAGTCTAACTTTTTGTAGCTACACGACGCGCTGCACAAATCATTGGAAGAGAGACTGATCCTCGGCTCGCTGTTTGTGAGTTTCCACAATCTAAATAGTTATCAGGACGTCATCAACAGGATGGAATTTACATGGCAGAGCATCTCCGCTAAACTAAACGCAGGCCTATCAGGTAAAGTTATGTATAATTTTAATTTAAGTTAAAAAGGCTACAGCTGCGTAGCGCACAGAAGCCGTTGCCATGGTTACTATCCATAGAGCGCCTGTCATTCACTCGCGGAGCGCTGTCTCCCTTTCTGTTCACCTGAGAGAACCTGCCAAAGCCTCTCCACTGCTTGTTTGGGTGGGTTATTTGCTGGCTGACCAACATCCCACCCCTGATCCATGGTTTGACTGTAGCAGTGTTGTTTTCGTCAACGATGACGATAACGAAATTATTTCGTTGACGCACTTTTTTTTTATGACGATAACGTGACGATGACTAGCTAAAAATATCTCTAAGGTGACTAAAACTTGACGAGACGTTTTCGAGTTTTCGTTGACAAGACGAGACGAAACGAAAATGATTATAAGTCTGACGTTCACAATCACAAGCATGTCATTTCTGCCTATTTTGCGTGAAATCTGTCTGTTTTGAGCTAAAAAAAGTATCAGCAATGCTGCCGCTTCCTTGTTTTGGGTAGGCTATACCCATGCCGCCGCGCGCACCAGATTCCACACAACACACCTGCGGCTGCGGCTAGTCACTCACCACATCTTCGAAGGACCACGGCAGCGATCGAAGCCAATATACGGGCTTGGTGGTCGGAAACGACGAGATGATTTATGGACATACTTTCAGTTTCAGTATAATCCAGCGGTTCTCAAAGTGTGGGGCGCGCCCTACTGGCGTGACAGGTCTCCTCCAAACGGGAGGAAATTTTCCGTTTTATGCCTTTGTATCTTTATTCGCTCATGGCGTCCGCATCGTCAACTTCATCTTTGCTGCGACACCGAAAACTCCAGTTTATTAATAAACAATTAAATGTCTCCTTGCTTTTTTTTACACATTCATAATCATTACTTTTGCTGGTTCTTTGTGGCAAGCTTTATGCGTGCGGTCGTGCGCGGCTATAACGCTCATTATCCTGTATAGCCTATTTAAGTAATTAAATTAATATAAAGGGGCGATTTGTCCACTAATGGCTTAAATGAACAACTACTAGTCGACTAGAATACAAACTTTAGTCGGAGGCAGCTCTTATTCCACATATTCTCGAACCAGCAGGCCATTCTGTGTTGAGCGCGCGACCCTGAGCTGAATGAGCGAGCCGAGGGATATTCAGAAATGCGCTCTCCGCTCACATGCTCTGATCGGAACAAAGGAATATTACAATAATTAATCATTAGTTTATATCTTATACACTGCCCATACACTACCCATCATTTTAATCCCATATCAAACACAGTATGTTATGTCTATTTTATCTATTTAAAAAAAAAAATCACGTTTTTATGTATAAGGCTAAAGGCAGAGAGCTGTGTGTGAGATTCTTCTTCCCTTTGCCACATCATATCTCTGTGAGATGGGCTTTTCAGCTTCACTGAAAACAAAGTACAGATCTCAGCTGAACATTGGAGCATGACTTTTGAGAAATTGTGCAATGCAAAACAGGCTCATTGCAGCCACTAATGCAGGGATAAATAGACCTGTCTTGCCAAATGGATTTCTATTCTTTTCTCTTTTTTAACAGATTGCAAAGTGGCACTTTTATTTCTTTTCCATTTTTGAACTTGACATAAATTGACACAGCTGCACTTTTATTTTCTCTATTTTTTAAAGACTAATTTTTTTTTACTAAAATTGACTAAAACTAGACTAAAACTTGACTAAAACCTTTTTTTGTTTTCGTCGACTAAAACTTGACTAAAACTATTAAGTTTATAAGTGACTAAAATGTGACTAAAACTAAAAAGCATTTTCGTCCAAAAGACTAAGACTAAAACTAAAAGGGCTGCCAAAAACAACACTGGACTGTAGGCCTATGTGTATTCAGACCCAGTGAGCAACGGACTTTCAAAATAATAAAAAAAAAAAACTGCGTTAACGTGCGATAAAAAAATTGTCGGCATTAATTAATAAATGCGTTAACGCGATAATAACGCGTTAACTTGCCCAGCCCTAATATATATATATATATATATATATATTCATTCTAAAAAATTGGTTAAAAGTTAGATTTTGAAACATCTTGAAAAAAAATTAATTTTTCCACTGGGTACCACAAGGAAGAATATATATATATTTCTTTTGTCTTCGCATTCTTTGGTACCCAGTGACACACCTGTGTGAAAGGCTCAGTATGCAGGTCATTGTCTTCTCAGGTGTGAATCAGGGTATTATTCAGGATCCTCACAATCATTCAAGACACAAAAAGTGTCTTACAAAATTTAAATCAATGTATTGTTTTGTGTAAATGATTAGGCAGGATGATTTTCAGATCATTTTGAAGAAAAAACTCTAGGCGACAACATCCATTAGTCAAGTCTTGTGGACACATATTTAGTCTGTGTTTTGTGGCCTTATTTCAGAAACTTTAAGTTTTAGTTTTTTCAATAACCATGCATAAACAATATTCTCTCAAAAATACAAGAAAGTACATACATGTTGCTCACATATTATGGTAGCCCTGTTTGTGCTAAATAGAGTGTAATTACACCTTTGCCATTAAAATGTTTATAAGGAACTGAAAAAAGCACTCAGTCAGACCCACTTTTATGCTAATCAGTCATATCCTCTTCTGAAAATTATTTTATTCCTTCTGATAATTCTAACAGTAAAGATCAGTTTGTTTCAAATTCACCCAGCCAGCACCCATGATCAATCAATACCTTTGAAAGGCCAGGACTGCAATAGAGCACACCCTTCACATGCTGTTCTTGTATTTCCCTGTTGGGGGCATTACAGGTACAAACTCATGTAACCTCAATCATCCAAAGGATTTGCTGCAGACCTCCCAAATCAAACACAATTTGTATAACAAATATGATGCATAGACACAGATTCAGTGAGGCCTCACAGTTATGGACAAGCATCCTGTGAGGTTGCTTGGACCCCTCATCTGTGTTTTGTGACATTCTCATTTTAGTATGAGTGGAAAACATGTCTAGAGGTGTCATTGTTCTTTTCTCACATTTCATCTCTAGCAGAGAGCCATCCATGACCATTGTTGGACATGTCTGCCGTTATGTATAGAAAAACACATCTGATCACACAGATATAACATTTCAAGTTCAATATGTCAATGGCAGTGTTACAGTTCAATATGTCAGTGTTACATGTATTAATATTACAAGCTTAAAACATGTTTAAATGCCCTTGACACTCTCAATGTCTATTTTGACGCACAAGAGAAAACTGGATTGCTTCACTAACACTTTCCCACCTCCTTTCCCCTCCACCCACTCTTCCTTCCCTAACCCTCCATTTCTTTTTCACACACTCTCTCTTTCCATTTCTCACCATTTATTTTCAATTTTAATTTCACACTTTTTCTCTTCCACCTCCAACCCCCCTCTACTTCTGTTTGCTTGTCTTTCACTCTCTGCTTCCGGGACTGCATGACTCAAGGAGGACAAAGTGGTTAGAGTTTTTCTTTTCTTTTTGTTGTGTGCTCTACTAATGTGATTTGAGGGAAGTGTTACGTCTGAATGTGCACAATCACTGGACTGAATGGACTAATACCATTTCTGTTGCTAATATAAGTAGTTGTGTATGTATGTGTGTGTGAGTGTGTGATTTGAATCTTTTCCCACATGCAAAACCTTCAGTGAAAAAGTGAGTTCACACAAAAAAAAATCCCATTAAATTTACGGTAAAAGAAGCAGCTGTGGTTGCCAGAAATTCACTATAAGAGATACTGTGACAATGCTTCAGGTGTTATGCTATGGCATTTATGTGCTCAACTTATAACAATGTTTTTCATTTATTTATATAATGTTAATATAACCACTTGAACTACCAAAATCTGCTTTTAACTTATAATGTACCAAGCACCATAATAATACAGGTGGCATAATAGAAAGCCACAATAAATCATTGTAAGTGGCCTGTCCATACAACTTGGCCAATACTCATATATCGATGGTTTACAGGGTCATACACACAAAGACAAAAGACCATCAGGGTAACTAAAATAACACTAAAATAATGCAATAAACATGAACTAAATTACTGAAAAGGTAACACATTAGGAAACAGCCTAAGAAACCTTAAGAAACAAACCTATTTAAATAAATGTAATCATATGTCATGAATGTACATCTGGGAATGTCTTTTTACTGTATTTCACTGTAAATTGCATGATAATTAATAGTTTTTAGTTGCAAGAAAAACATTGAATTTTACTGGCATTGTCACCTTATTGAACCTCTGTTGTTGATTTATCTTGCAAAACAATTCTGTTGATTTTTTTCTGCTATATTGAGCACAAACAAAATTGGACTAATATTGCACCCATTATTTGTCTTCTGTTCATGCAAAGTGTCTCATAGGGAAAGACAGGGTAAGACATTCTGAGTATTGTAGATTCTGCATGGGCCACCAATTATTTTCTCATGAGAGCCAGCTAATAGGATACTAGCATGTGTTGGCTGAACCCCATCCCCCTCCCTTCCTTGTTGCTACCGCCAGGGATGCCGAAGTAGTTGCCACAGCAAGGGGGTTAGGGGAATAGGGTATTTGGATTTGTCGGAATATTGATGTCTCACAACTGGTTGCTCTTTAGTCAAATGGGTTTAACTTAAACACTACGTAAGCTGTGCTCTACATGATTATCAGTAGAGACATGATTCCAAACATGGAATGCACTCCCTTTCACTTAAAGTGCTACCAGTGATGAGAGAATGCTTATCTGTGCATGTTCACTGCACCTGCTTGTGCCCTGGGACTGCAATAGGCATGCCACGGGGTGAAAGTTCAAGGTCAAAATTCAGGGTTTTACCACGGCCGATATGGAAATGTCATATTCGCAACTCACTTTGTTAGTATTGATGAAAGCACTCAGAGAGAAATACTTACCCTGCACTCCAGTGGGCACTTGTGACTTGTGTGTTTTTGTGCTATTATGTGTGTGATGTGTTGTCTGTCAGGTGTCTTTGTTTATTACTGTGTTTGTGCTTGTCGTAACTTTGTGAATGACCAGTATTGGTGTTGAATTTATGCTGCTGAAATAAAAATATCCTTCCTTTCTTGTTTTTTTTAGCATATACTACTGAACATCATGTGCTTTGTTTTAATTAATCATGTTGTCAAGAGCTCAACTTTAAGCTGTATACTGTGGATGTCTCAGAACAGTGTTGACGCTTATCTCAAAGTGTACCTTGTTTTTTCGCATACATTTAGGATGTGCTTACAGCCCAACGTGTAGCCTTTGAAAGTATTCTTTATTTGACATCATTCCTGATCCCAGGCGGCTGACACATTAGAAAGGTTTATCTTTGTCCAGTGTCTGCGCTACTTCTCTCCAGAAGTAAGGACTGAACAATTTATCAAATTAAATCGCATTTAGTGTGATTATAAAATCGCAAAGACTGTGATTTAATTGAATAAACATATAGTATGCTACATGTTTTAGAGTGAAGTGTGGCACTGTGTTAATTTTCACATGATAAGCTCATGATCCGGTGTTTTCAGTGTCTAAGAGAAGCTCTGTTCACAGTAAATATTGCTCCACACAAACTTTTCACTGCATATGCTCTGAGTACGAGTCGCTCAAACGTGCATTTCATGAGGTTGTGTGCCCATATAATCTGAGCGTACATGGTAAACAGTTTTGGCTTGCTGTCCGCTATGAAGGGGCCCGGGAGTTTTTCTACTTAAAGGCCGTGTTGCAGGGTTAATTTTTCAACTAATTTGTGCAATTTGCTTGTTGGTAATACACATTTAAACTGTTATCCATTGTATTTTATGTTGTTGGGTATCACAAAACGTAATATAATACGAAAAATTACAGCGGTTTGCAACGATTCTCCTTTCCACCACAATGCATTGGATGACGTCACCTTGGGGAGAGAATTTACCAAAGCCCGCCTTGAGAGCATTAGAGTGACTAGAGAGACGAGTAGTAGAGACGAGAGTATTCAGATAGCGCAGATTATAGATCAATAGATAAATACATAGATATAGGTAAATAGATAGTCTAGATATATAGATAGACAGACAGATATATAGATAGATAGGCTAGTATGCGGCAACTGCACATCCAACGGCACGTGCGACCAATGAGCCAACTCTACATTGTCAATCTACCTACTATGTATATTTCTATCTATTTATCTATCTAGCTGCTAGCTATCTATGCTAACGTTTATGCTATCTGGATGTCTGCCTATCTCTCTCTATACTGCCCACACAAGCACTTGCCAAACACAGCGACCGGACAGCGACAGACACGCGGCGGCTACGTTTGCAACAACATTTTCACCGGAGGAAGAGATAAACACTTAGAAACGCCAATATAGCTAGCATGATGCCTTCTATTTCTAGATGACAAAGACCAAGTTTACCAGTACTAGACACTATGACAAAGGTTACCGGTACTTATCTGAACTAACGTCATGATCACTGCCACTAGATATAAAGAAAACGTTGATTTTTCACTCGGTCCTATTCAATGACAGTAACAATATATATATGTGTGTCGTTATTGTGCACTGCTGCTCGTAGACTAGCTCCAGTGCTCATTGCTGCGGTGCTAAATGATAGCAACTCACCAGGACACTTCACCAACTCTTCCTCATCCCAGTCAGTCGCCATAGTTCTAATACTAGGCTGAGAATGTCTAATACGGGCTCTGATACTAGGCTGAGGCTGCCTTTCCTCCACTTCTCCCCAACGTGACGTCATCGCCGAATCGCGTAAAAAAACCCGTTAATACCAAAAACGTAAAAAAACTGGTCTTTAAGACCATTTTTGAGACATTTTAAAAAGGATATACATATCCTGAGTGATTTATGTACCCATTAATCGACAGTGGTGGTTAACCTGCAACATGGCCTTTAAGCTCCGATTTGCCCCCCAAAATTGCAAAGTATAATTTGCACAGCAAGCAGTATTTACCGAATCGAAATGCTTATAGCTATTTAAGTGAAATTGGCACATGTAATTAGGCTCAAAGGTCCAGAAGGCCCCCCTAAAACTGGGAAAGAAAGTTAAATAGGAAGGAGTGTTAGGGCAGCTCCTGCTGGAGTTACGGTGGGGCAAAGCAACGGCAGTATCGAGTTAAGTGGGGCACTGCGGTGGCAGTATCGAGCTTCTACGGGAGCTGTATTTGGACTGGAGGTTTGTCACTGAGGTTGGAGAGTTTCCCGCCACTGAATCCATAGCATGGAGCCTAGAAATTATAAAACGTGATTCTTACCGTCACCGATGTCACAGAAGGGGTGACCAGGCCTGACTACCCTGAAAGTTGGCCCCCGCGCATCTAACTCTGCAAAATCAAGACATGTGGCCCCCACAGATGGCGGAAAAGGACATCATAAAATAACTCGCATGGCATTCCCATTCCCTCCTAATGCTGCAATCCGAATAGGAGAGCCCCTATGATAAGAAACATGAGGGAGCACATTTGGATTCAGAAGGGGAGAGCCCCTACTGCAGGGCTATTCAACTGGCAGCCCGCGGGCCAAATCCGGCCTGCCAATCATCTCCAACCGGCCCGACGGCACCAACCTCCCTCATCCTCTTTTACTGGCAGTGTGGTTAATTTAGTTTGATACGCGCTCCGAATGACCTCAGAAACGTTTTACGTGCGAATATTTCAGCAGACGCGACAGACACCTCTCTGTTACTAGAATTAAATCGGATGAAACAGCCTCAACATTCCCAACAAGAGTGATGAGGAAAGCAGGAGAAACATTGTGCCATGAACGAAATTAGAAGACTTTAAATCCCCTAATCACCACCCTTGCAAACATGTACCATGAATGTACTGTAGTAATTTACCATGGTTTGGGCAGAAATGTGGAATATTTTAATTGAATATGTTATAGTAATTTATATTGCATTAGATTTATTAGATGGGTAGAGGAATATATAATTCATTTTTGTTATAAAATTATTCAGTTTCTTTGTGGAGGTGCGTATAGTTTTTAACCTGTGTTTAGGCATTTTTTTATACAGTGGGAGTGAGTAGCCTGTGGGTATCAAGTCCCACTGTCAGAATATTTTCATTTAAGCATAACAATTATAAATGAAATAATTCTTATTTCTTACCAATAGCTATGAGCTTGTATAATTAATTTATTTGTTCCAAGGAAAATAGTTGTACACAGCTGTAAATTATCAAGTTTTTATTTATTATGGTCTTATACACTCACCTAAAGGATTATTAGGAACCTGTTCAATTTCTCATTAATGCAATTATCTAATCAACCAATCACATGGCAGTTGCTTCAATGCATTTAGCGGTGTGGTCCTGGTCAAGACAATCTCTTGAACTCCAAACTGAATGTCAGAATGGGAAAAAAAGGAGATTTAAGCAATTTTGAGCGTGGCATGGTTGTTGGTGCCAGACGGGCCGGTCTGAGTATTTCACAATCTTCTCAGTTACTGGGATTTTCACGCACAACCATTTCTAGAGTTTACAAAGAATGGTGTGAACACTCATAAGCTGCGTGTTCACACAAAACATGACAACATGCCGATGAAAACACAAGTTGTGTGTTACACAGAACACAACAACATGAACTCCTGGCCAATGAAAACAAACCAAGCTCTGACATTTAAGACAAGAGCGCACGACAAGTGAATGAACACACAACCTGTATGTAAAACGAGAGACAAGACATAGAGCGTGAGTGTCCGAACCCCGACACGGAACCGAAACAAAACTAGACATGAGTACCGGAATCCGAACACCATGCTCGAAACCGCACGCTCAGACAAAGACTTTAAAATACATGAGCGTCAGGGCTCTGTCACAAAACCAAGAATAAACTAGACCAAATTGACAGAACCCTGATACAGATAACATAATATTTTGAGTTTCTGTTGATTAAACCAATCTCCTTCATTAAATTCATTTCAATGAACTCTCAGGTTACTTACTTTTTAAGTTTTTAATTTTTAATTTTTACTACGAGCTAATTAAGCAATAGTAATTGTGTTAATTACAGTGACAATGAATGAAAACGTCTCGGGTTATGACTGTAACCCTTGTTTCCTGAGAATGGAACGAGACACTGCGTCGATAACGACACTATGGGGAACGCCACTTAGCGTAGCGCGTCTGAAGTATGAATTAAACTAATCCAAACCTATTGGCGTTGCGTGACAACGTAACGTGTGACGGCATGCATGGAAGCTACAAAGGGACGCCGGCACACAACAGCGTCAGCTTCGCGATGAAGCAAGTTGCTCCCAGGCAGGGGGAGGAGTGGCAAAGGGACGCAGTGTCTCATTCCTTTCTCAGGGAACAAGGGTTATAGTCGTAACCCGAGACGTTCCCTTTCGAGGGAACTCGCACTGCGTCGATAACCACACTATGGGGAACAAAATGCCCAC